CCGTCACCGTCACTGTCGTCGTCGTCGTCTTCGTTGTTGGAAGAACTAGTGACAGTCCGAGAGAACAAGCACACTGCCGTCTCAAGCGCGCCGACCGAGTGAAGGCAGCAGCTCTAGACGTCTGCCAGACTGGCCTGGCAGCTCGACGCTCGGGTCTGACGTGCACACAGATCGTGTCGGTGTGTCTTCCCTCCCCTAGACTGATGGTCGAGTTTGGGCCAATCGGAACAGATTTCCCATCTGGATTGGTACAACAGTCCTCCTCCAATCAGAACGAGGCTGGTTCTGTTGACTGGGCGGCAAATCAGACGTCAATGGGCTCGTTCGGCCTGGAAACCCGTCAGACTAACGCGGACTAAGTTTTCGTTATAACTTTCTTTCAAGACGATCTGTTATTTTCTAACACGAACTTAATTAGAACTAGGCTGACCTCATTTTCCCAACTTAGTTGTGTTGTCGGGGGGACCTAGGTTGACGTACCTTGTCTGAAATCCTCACTTGTTGTAGTTGTCATTAGTCCCAGCGTTGGACGGTGGACTTGTTACATTTCCAAGCGTTTCGCTGGCATCGTAGCAGACATCGTCAGTGAGTCTTGCCATTTTCAGCGCCAAACTACAACTCCTCAGAGAGACAAGTGGAGACAATCACTTGGTCGTTCGGCGGAAAGTTAGTCACTTGTATTTTTGATAAGTTGTAGCTTGGTTGTTGAGTCCACAGTCCGACGCTGGGAATAATGATAACCCCTACAGGAGAGGACTTCGGACAATGTGTGTCCAACTAGGTCATCCTAACAACACGACCAAGTTGCGAAAACGAGGTCGGCCCTAATCTATACATCGAAAAGAGACTGCGACCATGACATAGGCCACACCATCTTAGTCTTCTTATTTTTGAAGTACTTAATCAGCCTAAGTCGTTCAAAGGAATTCAAATACAAATAGTTGAGTTTTTTCACAATCAAACGTTTATACTTCGCAAATTGCATTGAATTTCACTTAGCCATGCCTCCAAACGGATTATATCACCTTAAGCGACACAGTGTCCTAAGGCTCTTATTCATGCTCCAATGGGAGTCACGGGCTCCTATTCAATTCGGAGACAAGTAATGTTGTTGACTGTGCTGACAAATATAAGCTTGCTTTAGCGACAATCCTATCATGAAAATAATTATATAACAGAAGTCTAGCTTGTCTCGAAATTCATTTCTCTCCTCTCATCTACTGACACTCGTGAATGTGTGGCGTAATAGCTTCATGTCTTAATTATACGCTGCACTACTCTGGTTCCATTGCCTTTGAGCGCACTGATTAGAGCCAGGCGACATCGAAACTGTATTCTAGTCCAATCGAGGTAAATATACATTTCAGAAGGAGGGCTAAATAAAATTCACTTGCCTCGTTAGGTCTACTCATCTATCTCATTATGGTTAAAATGCATTATCATAATCATCATTTATCAACTTAAGCAAAGTGGACTAACGAAAGCTTCTTTATCTTCATTCGTAGAATGTCGTTCCGACAAATGGTCGCGAAGATTGTGACGACGCCTTGCTACCGACTACGTATCACTGTAAAGATGGCATTCAAGGTAAACCAGGTCACACACAATTTACATTTATAATGAAATAGTCGAATTATCAAACGTATTGCTGCCATTACAATCGACGGCGACAGTGATAGTCTCTAAATTTACTTACATAGAAAATAAGAAAAGTTTTCGATTACAATAACAAATAAGTTATTGCTACGACGAGGAACTGGGCATCGATAAATCCTCTGAGATAATAATGCTGAGGTGACTTTCATTTCGTATAAAAGTGCACGAATAAAAAATCCGTTGATCGATCTCACCAGAAGAAGATGGCTAAATCCTGTTGCACTTCAGCCGTTTGGCTATCGTAAGACGTTAAGGTAGGCGCAGTCCACGATACCACCTCCCTCGTTTCGGGTGAAAACGGGCTGAGCTTTGGTCCATCATCAGAGCTTGGTCTCATTCCTGTAAAAGTCTCACGTTAACACTAGGGCAAAGAGACTGTCCGGCTCCATTTTACTCCTTATATAGACTCACTTAAGCTAAAGGAATAAAAACCCTGGATTTATTCTGTAATGATGCCTTTTAGAGAGCAATATTACCGATTATCGAGATCCTGCTGCTACAAGATTGTTTGCTCCTGTGGTCGATGTTATGTTGGTGAGACATGCCGACCTATTTGACAAAGATTCAGGGAACAAAAAAATGCTTGTAAAGGAAGCTGGCAGAAATTAGAGATGAGATAGAATGTTCTCAAATTAGTTGGTTTGCTGATTATGGTGCGTTTGATGTTAAAGTAAAGATAAGGTAAGCAATTGAAACTAATAGATTAGGAAATACGTTGAATATGAGGATCGGTGGTAGAAGGTTGAGTAGAGACTACTTATGCTTGATTGATAGATTGAAGGAGAGAGAGAGGGTGTTGAGCCACCATCCAAAAGAAGGCGACTCAACTGGTCTGCTCAGTGATGGTTATAACTTCACTCACATTAGTCTAACCTGTTAGATCAATCGAAGGTATGAAGACCAAGATGGTGTGGCCTTTTGTGTGATCGCAGTCTCCTTTCGTTGTATAAATGTTGTTTGATCTTGTTTTCGCAACTTGGTCATATTGGTAGGAAGACTTAGAGGAACGCACCTAGTCCGGAGTCGTTGTATGCATCATCATTTCCAGAGTAGGACCGTGGACGCGGTACATTCCCAAACGTTTCGCCGGCATCGTCAGTGAGTCTCGCCATTCGTAGCACCATATTACAACTCGTCAGAGACAAGTGAAGCCGATTCTTTGACCAAACGTATGCAAAACAATTATGGTATCTCCCCTTCTCCCCTGGGTTATTCGCGTTTCCGGTAGCATCCTATCATGCCTTCACTATTAACATTTTTACCGTGTTTATTTAATTAGTGTGGTATGCTCCTTTGAGCGACATGACACCTTCACACTCCAACTCTCGTTCTCACCCCCTCTTCATCGTTGTGCAGGGAAAGTTGATGACAGCCTGCTTTATTATTATGCAGTCCTCTATCCTAGTCTTATCCCAGTCTCCCTGTTGCTCCGTAAAATCCGTCTGCTCTACCCATTGTTCACCTATTTTACTCGACTCCTGCCACCACATCTATCCTACTCGAGGCATTATTCGGCCTCTCCTGCGTCTGGATGACTAATCCGAGGCGCAAGCCTCTGAGTGTCATGATCACTCCTTTGCTGCATGTACCACGCCTCTGCTACAACAGATCTACCGTCAGCCAACTAGCTCCGGTCCCAGCCGTCTCTATCCAG